CAGAGAGAAAGGTTGGGTTACCCACAAAGGGAAGCCCATCAGACTAACAGCAGATCTCTCAGCAGGAAGTCTACAAGCCAGAAGAGAGTGAGCACCAATATTCAACATTCTTAAAGAAAAGAATTTTCAACCCAGAATTTCATACCCAGCCAAACTAAGCTTCATAAGTGAAGGAGAAATAAAATCCTTTACAGACAAGAAAATGCTGAGAGATTTTGTCACCACCAGGCCTCCCTTACAAGAGCTCCTGAAGGAAGCACTAAACATGTAAAGGAAAACTGGTACCAGCCGCTGCAAAAACATGGCAAATTGTAAAGACCATTGATGGTAGGAAGAAACTGCATCAACTAATAGGCAAAATAACCAGCTAAAATCATAATGACAGGATCAAAATCACACACAACAATACTAACCTAAAATGTAAATGGGCTAAGTGCCCCAGTTAAAAGACACAGATGGGCAAATTGGATAAAGAGTCAAGACCCATCAGCGTGCTGTGTTCAGGAGACCCATCTCACGTGCACAGATGCACATAGGCTCAAAATTAAGGGATGAGGAAGATCTACCAAGGAAATGGAAAGCGAAAAAAAAGCAGGGATTGCAATCCTAGTCTCTGATAAAACAGACTTTAAACCAACAAAGATCAGAAGAGACAAAGAAGGCCATTACAAAATGGTAAAGGGATCAATTCAACAAGAAGAGCCAACTATCCTATATATATATGCACCCAATAGAAGAGCACCCAAATTCATAAAGCAAGTCCTTAGAGACTTACAAAGAGACTTAGACTCCCACACAATAATAATGGGAGACTTTAACACCCCACTGTCAATATTAGACAGATCAATGAGACAGAAGGTTAACAAGGATATCCAGGACTTGAACTCAGCTCTGCACCAAGCAGACCTATAGACATCTACAGAACTCTCCACCCCAAATCAACAGAATATACATTCTTCTCAGCACCACATCACACTTATTCCAAAATTGATCACATAGTTGAAAGTAAAGCACTCCTCAGCAAATGTAAAAGAACAGAAATCACAACAAACTGTCTCTCAGACCACAGTGCAATCAAATTAGAACTCAGAATTAAGAAATTCATTCAAAACCGCACGACTACATGGAAACTGAACAACCTGCTGCTGAATGACTACTGGGTACATAAAGAAATGAAGGCAGGAATAAAGATGTTCTTTGAAACCAATGAGAACAAAGACACAACATACCAGAATCTCTGGGACACATTTAAAGCAGTGTGTAGAGGGAAATTTATAGCACTAAATGCCCACAAGAGAAAGCAGGAAATATCTAAAATTGACACCCTAACATCACAATTAAAAGAACTAGAGAAGCAAGACCAAACAAATTCAAAAGCTCGCAGAAGGCAAGAAATAACGAAGATCAGAGCAGAACTGAAGGAGATAGAGACACAAAAAAACCTTCAAAAAATCAATGAATCCAGGAGCTGGTTTTTTGAAAAGATCAACAAAAGAGATAGTCTGCTAGCAAGACTAATAAAGAAGAAGAGAGAGAAGAATCAAATAGGTGCATTTAAAAATCATAAAGGGGATATCACCACTGATCCCACAGAAATACAAACTACTCTCAGACAATACTATAAACACCTCTATGCAAATAAACTAGAAAATCTAGAAGAAATGGATAAATTCCTGGACACATACACCCTCCCAAGACTAAACCAGGAAGACTTTGAATCCCTGAATAGACCAATAACAGGCTCTGAAATTGAGGCAATAATTAATAGTCTACCAACCAAAAAAAGTCCAGGACCAGATGGATTCACAGCTGAATTCTACCAGGGGTACAAAGAGGAGCTGGTGCCATTCCTTCTGGAACTATTCCAATCAATAGAAAAAGAGGGAATCTTCCCTAACTCATTTTATAAGACCAGCATCATCCTGATTCCAAAGCCTGGCAGAGATACAACAAAAAAAGAGAATTTTAGACCAACATCCCTGATGAACATTGACGCAAAAATTCTCAATAAAATACTGGCAAACCAAATCCAGCAGCACATCAAAAAGCTTATACACCACTATCAAGTTGGTTTCATCCCTGGGATGCAAACCTGGTTCAACACAAGTAAATCAATAAACATAATCCATCACATAAACAGAATCAAAGAAAATGACATGATTATCTCAATAGATGCAGAAAAGGCCTTTGACAAAATTCAACAGCCCTTTATGCTAAAAGCTCCCAATAAACTAGGTATTGATGGAATGTTTCTCAAAATAATAAGAGCTATTCATGGCAAACCCACAGCCAATATCATACTGAATGGGCAAAAACTGGAAGCATTCCCTTGGAAAACTGGCACAAGACAGGGACGCCCTCTCTCACCACTCCTATTCAACGTAGTGTTGGAAGTTCTGGCCAGGGCAGTCAGGCAAGAGAAAGAAACAAAGTGTATTCAAATAGGAAATAAGGAAGTCAAATTGTCCCTGTTTGCAGATGACATGATTGTATATTTAGAAAACCCCATCGTCTCAACCCAAAATCTCCTTAGACTAATAAGCAACTTCAGGAAAGTCTCAGGATACAAAATCAATGTGCAAAAATCACAAGCATTCCTATACACCAATAATGGACAAACAGAGAGCCAAATCATGAGTAAACTCCCATTCACAATTACTACAAAGAGAATAAAATACCTAGGAATCCAACTTACAAGGGATGTAAAGGACCTCTTCAAGGAGAACAACAAACCACTGCTCAGTGAGATAAAAGAGGACACAAACAAATGGAAGAACATACCATGCTCATGGATAGGAAGAATCAATATTGTGAAAATGGCCATACTGCCCAAGGTAATTTGTAGATTCAATGCTATCCCTGTCAAGCTACCATTGACTTTCTTCACAGAATTGGAAAAAACTACCTTGAAGTTCATGTGGAACCAAAAAAGAGCCCACATGGCCAAGAAAATCCTAAGCAAAAAGAACAAAGCTGGAAGCATCACGCTACCTGACTTCAAACTATACTACAAGGCTACAGTAACCAAAACAGCATGGTACTAGTACCAAAACAGAGATATAAACCAATAGAACAGAACAGAGTCCTCAGAAATAACACCACACATCTACAACCATCCGATCTCTGACAAACCTGCCAAAAACAAGAAATGGGGGAAAGATTCCTTATTTAATAAATGGTGCTGAGGAAACTGACTAGCCATATGTAGAAAGCTGAAACTGGATCCCTTCCTTACACATTATACAAAAATCAACTCGAGATGGATTAGAGACTTAAATATTAGACCTACAACCATAAAAACCCTAGAAGAAAACCTAGGCAATACCATTCAGGACATAGGCATGGGCAAGAACTTCATGACTAAAACACCAAAAGCAATGGCAACAAAAGCCAAAATAGACAAATGGGATCTAATTAAACTAAACAGCTTCTGCACGGCAAAGGAAACTGTCATCAGAGTGAACAGGTAACCTACAGAATGAAAGAAAATTTTTGCAATCTATCCATCTGACAAACGGCTAATATCCAGAATCTACAAAGAACTTAAACAAATATATGAGAAAAAATCAAACAACCCCATGGAAAAGTGGGCAAAAGATATAAACAGACACTCTCAAAAGAAGACGTTTATGCAGCCAACAGACTCATGAAAAAATGCTCATCATCATTGGCCATCAGAGAAATGCAAATCAAAACCACAATAAGATACCATCTCATGCCAGTTAGAATGGTGATCATGAAAAAGTTGGGAAACAACAGGTGCTGGAGGGACTGTGGAGAAACAGGAATGCTTTTACACTGTTGGTGGGAGTGTAAACTAGTTCAACCATTGTGGAAGACAGTGTAGCAATACCTCAAGGATCAAGAACTAGAAATACCATTTGACCCAGCAATCCCATTACTGGGTATATAGCCAAAGGATTATCAATCATGCTACTATAAAGACATGTGCACACCTATGTTTATTGCAGCACTATTCACAATAGCAAATACTTGGAACCAACCCAAATGTCCATCAGTGATAGACTAGATTAAGAAAATGTGGCACATATACACCATGGAATACTGTGCAGCCATAAGAAAAGATGAGTTCATGTCCTTTGTAGGGACATGGATGAAGCTGGAAACCATCATTCTGAGCAAACTATCACAAGGACAGAAAACCAAACACCGTATGTTCTCATTCATAGGTGGGAATTGAACAATGAGAACACTTGGACACAGGGCGGTGAACATCACACACTGGAGCCTGTTGTGGGGTTGGGGGGTGGGGGAGGGGTAGCATTAGGAGAAATACCTAATGTAAATGATGAGTTAATGGGTGCAGCAAACCAACATGGCACATGTATACATATGTAAAAAATCTGCAAGTTCTGCACATGTACCCTAGAACTTAAAGTATAATAATAAAAATAAATAAATAAAAATTTAAAAAACAGAAGTACCATTCAACCCAGCAATCCCATTACTGAGAATATACCCAGAGGAATAGAAATCATTCTACCATAAAGACACATGCATGTATGTGTTCACCACAGCACTACACAATAGAAGTCAGGGAATCAACCTAAATGCCCACCAACAGTAGACTGGATGAAGAATATGTGGCACATATGCATCACGGAATACTACATAGTCATAAAAATGAGTGAGATTATGACCTTTGCGGAAGCATGGATGGAGCTGGAGGCCATAGTCCTAAGTCAACTAACTTAGGAACAGGAAATCAAACACTGCATGTTCTCACTTATGAGTTGGAGCTAAACACTGAGTACACATGGACACAAAGAAGAGAACAACCGATATCTGGATCTACTTGAGGGTGGAGGGTGAGAGGAGGGAGAGGATCAAAAAACTACTTATCAGGTACTATGCTTATCACCTTGGTGATTAAATGATCCATACACCAAACCCCCGTGACACGCAATTTACCTGTATAACAAACCTGCACGTGCACTTCTGAACCTAAAATAAAAGTGTTTTTTTAAAAAGTGAATCTGGTGCTCCCCTCGGCAACACATATACTAAAATTGGAACGTTACAAAGATTAGGATGGCCCCTGCGCAAGGATGACAGGCAAATTCGTGAAGCGTTCCATTATTTTTGACACCATCTCCAGCCTCTGTAAACTTTAAAGGGCCTGCAGAGAATGCCATGCTTCAGGATGATCATTGGTGGTCTTGTCTTCGGATAAAAAGTATTTGTGTTATGATAAGGGTGTTGGGGTAAGGGACTCCGTGTGCTGTGCCTGCTTTCTCTAGCCAAGTGGTATATAATGAGTCTAGGAGGAGAAACATCAGCATTAACAGGAGACTTGCTATAAGAAGCTAATTCGTGGACTGTTTTCAAACCTGCAAAATTTGATTACAGTGAGGCCTAGAATATCAGGTAATTTGCATGCACATTGAAGCTTGAGAGGCAGTGCTTAGCTAAGTGACTCTCAGCCCAGTCTTCCAATAGGATCACATGGACAATTTGAAGATAAATCATCACCTGTGCCCTACCCACAGATCCTGTCTATTGTTCTGGGTGGAAACATTTCTGTTTTTTAAATTAAGTTTCTCACATATTACAGTGAGGCCAAGGTCAAGCATGAGGACTTCCAGATACTTTAATGAGAGGAACTCCTAACATTCAAGGTTGTGGCCATAGAATTCTCTGCAGAAGAGTGGAAATGCCGGGACCCTGCCCAGCAGAATTTATATAGAGATGTGATGTTGCAGAACTACAGAAACCTGGGTGTTGCTATCTGTAACCCAGACATGGTCACCTGTCTGGAGCAAAGAAAAGAACCCTACAATATGAAGATATATGAGACAGTAGCCAAACCCCCAGGTAGGTGACAGTGAATGAAATAGAGGACACAGGCAAGGGGACCATGGTCAAGAAGGAAGTCAGGCCTTAAAATGTAGTTTGGGAAGCTCTGCTGCTATGAAAATAATTTCTGAAAAGGCTGCACTTTTTTCTCATATTCACCAATGGGGCATCTTCTGTCTCATCCTGTTAAATCTTGTAAGAATTCTCCTTTTTCTTTAGTGATCTCCCTTCAAGTTCACAGGGAAAACCAATGTCCACTTTAACATTTGTAAGGGGCTGCATGATCTGGCTGCGGTTCCATTGCTTTTGGAGACATAGGAATATGTGTATATTGAGGAGCTCTATGTCAAAGTATTTTTTTCAAATATTCGTTTTGGATGATGTCTAAAATGTGTAAGGTGAGTAGTGGACATATTGGAATTTGGCTCAGAAATCCCAGGAACACTAGGGACAAATGTTGCCTCTCTTCTGCTTAGTGATTTTTAATCCTATAGAGGTTGCAAATATAATTCTACAAAAATTCTCACTCAGCAGTTTTATCAGAACAATAAACGTTTTTCTAAATACTAAAAAATGTAACGTTATTTCAAAATGTTATTGCTTTAGTATAAACTGAGATTTGTGATTCAAACTCTATATGTGCAAATTCCCAAATTAAATATAGTTTAAAGCACAGGTTTCCAACCTTTTGGCTTCCCTGGGCCACATTGGAAGAAGAATTGTCTTGAGCCACACATAAAATACACCAACATTAATGATAGTTGATAAACTTAAAAGAAAGGTTCATGAATAATTTTTGTGATATTCACCACCATAGATAAGCAAAAAAGTCCTCGCATTCAAAGGGCTGGTCACTGGATTAAAGTATCCACTCATCTTCTAGATTTTTTAAGTGCACTATGTCATTAACCAGCTTAGAACATTGCCAACATATTATGCTCTCAATCGTTAGTTTATTTATTAATAACTATTATCTTATAATTCTCTTATTTAGTAGGAAGCCTGAGATTCTGTCATTGAGACTATCTATCTATATCTATATAAAAATGTGTGTCTCACACACACACACCTATATAAGTTATATATGTGTATAGTAAATTCTTTTAACATTGTTGATAGCTTCTTGGAAACTGTAAGTGAAGCAATATATAATTTAAGAAAACTAATTTTAGGGCTGGACACAGTGGCTCACGCCTGTAATCCCAGCACTTTGGGAGCCTGAGGTGGGTGGATCAGGAGGTCAGGAGTTCGAGACTACCCTGGCCAACATGGCAAAACCCTGTCTCTACTAAAAATACAAAAAATTAACCGGGCATGGTGGTGGGGACCTGTAATCCAGCTACTTGGGAGGCTGACGCAGGAGAATCACTTGAACCCCAATACTGACATAGTAGTTAAAGTGTGTGTGGGAAGGAATGCAGGGAATAGTTTAATTAGAACTTCAGCAGGGGGGTGGAGGTTGCAGTGAGCTGAGATAGCACCATTGCACTCCAGTCTGGGCAACGAGTGAAACTCTGCCTCAAAAAAAAAAAAAAAAAAACAAAAGAAAGGAAAAAGAAAACTAACTTTACCAGAGTTTAATTGATATAAACAAGAGTTTTGTTTGGTGTATAGCAATATTGCTTCACCTAAAGTTGCAGTTTTCAAGAACCTGTTTAGAACATTAAGTGAGGACTTACTGTACATCTGTGTTTGTGTGATATAGATTTTTCTGATAAACAAAAATTGTATAACTATACAAAATAAAAGAGGAAACCTGGTTCTTGTATCCATTTAGTCTCCTGGCTCCAGGTCAGATGTGAAGGACAACTGTGGGAACTGTAGCCATGGAACCCCACAACAGAAGCCCCACACTACACCCTAACACCCCATCCTCCTGCCTGTCTTCCACATGAGGTTAGAGCACAACTGGGGGGCCTGTAAGTGGGGGCAACTAAAAGACACCCCACTAGAACCAGGGAATAAGATTTCCATTGAAGGGCTCAGGAGGAAGACATGTCAGGACAATGCAGGATGCTTGTGATAGAAATGAATAAAAACCCTCATTGTTTTTGCCAAAATGGTTACGTAGATGCAAAGTTACAGTTTGGGCTGCTGACCCAGAACAAGCACAGCTGCAGGATGTCTCAGGAATCCTCTAAGCTTCCCATCACAGAAACCGTGAAATCTCTGAGGCCATCCAGGGAGTGAAAAATAAGCTGGCACATAGGGTCACGAGCACCCAACATCAAAGACAGGAATTGTGTTCAGAACAGCAGCAGACACACTGCCCTCTGCTTCCCACAGATCCAAACGCGAGAGACGAGATGTAAAGAATTTTCTCTGACATATCCCTTTCCTGTGATTATTCACAAATTTTGCCACATTTGCATGCTGTGTGCAGCTCTCTTAAAGTATTTTCATCTTTGTTATTCATGCCTTTAAACCTTTTTAAGTGCACCAGCATGCATAAGCTGACTTGATGTTTGCAGGTCTTCCAGTTCTAAAAAATAAAATAAAGTCAGTGAAGTAGATGCCAGTGGCAGGCAAGAGCAGAAAGGCCAGAGAGGCCAGCTTTTCTCTCATCATATTCGTGGTAGAAGAAGTTCCTGTCAATCAACATTGTGATAGCATCAGTCTTAAGCATTGCCTCAGACACTAGAGGCTCCACACAGAGATACCCAGGTGTTGCAGGACCTGTGCAGGCTGAAAGATAAACCTTCAGAGCTCATGAGCAGAAAGTCATCTACCCTTCTAGTTATTCTAGATGGACCCTCATCTCAGGGGGAGCCCCAGCAGCAGAAAGCCTTATTAAAATTAAAATTAGCTAAGAAGGAAACGAAAGATAAACTTTTCCTCCTTCTTTCTCTTTAAAGCAGAATGAATTATCCACTGGATTCGGAATGGTACAGCTCTCAGGGAACTGTGAGACAGGAAGGTCTGCCTGGGGCCGGCTGAGGGAGGAGGAAGAAAGCAATGAGAGAAGCTAGATCGAGACCACAGATGCTGCAGCTGAGGCTCATGCAGTCAAGTCTCAGACCCAGCAAGAGCAACTTCCCACAGTAACATTTTTCATCCCTGACAGCACTTCACATTGAGCTAGTAACTCTTCCTGTAAGAGATTATATAGGTTTTGATAAAGATGTGAGGAATGTGAGCTGCAGGGCTTTGGACATCTGGAATAAAAGCCACAGGCAAAATGGGAAACTCTACAACTTGTAATCTGAAAATACACAGTCCTAATGATGTGTTCCTACACGTACACGTGCATACATGAAGAGTACCTTTTCTCCACTCTGTGTCTTGCATAACCAAAAACTGATTGAATTGGAGAGTACTTTTCAATTACAATCCATTCCATTTAAGAATTCCCAGCTGTCGGGCCTTCTTTTCTTTTATTCGAGCAAACAGAAGTCATATCCTTTCACAGGAAGATGAAGAAAAAAATACGAAGATAACATCAAAGCATAATAAAATGTCCAAAGCACTGATATATCTACACATTCAATCTTGCAGACTTTGATTATTAGGAAAAATGATCAAGGTAACAGCGAAACAAGAAACTTACTAAGTGTTCTCGTACATACAGATTCCTTCTTATCTAGCTGTATTACCAGACACAATGCATTTTCTTTTATTTACTGGTCTGTCTTCTGAGCACCACATGTTAAAACTGCAAGACATAAAGATGAAATAACAGGCACTGGATTTATTTTTCTGCTTAAAACAACCCCCAAAAAGTAAAATTTGTAGAACAATGATTTTCAAGATATTGGACATCAGCAATGAAGGACAATGATCCCTGAGAGATGAGAAAAAAAAAAAGTCACCTCTACAATAACCTTAGCTACTGCCTTGAGAGAGTTCCCATCCTTGGCACAGTAAAAAGAAACCAAGCTAGAGACCAGCAGACTTCCTCAGTTTAAACGATGGAGTTGAGGGCCTGGAAAGAACAAGGCAACAGAGTTCACAGGACAGAAGAGAGAGATCTGCAGAGGGTCCCACTCAAATATTCAGCAAAGTACCGATAAGCACGTCCATGAGATTTCCTGAGACTAGGGAAAGAAGCATTCCAAAAGGAGTAAACGGAAAAGGACTCAAGGCCAGGAATAGCACCTTCCCACCAGCCAGATTCTCCAGTCTCATCATTTATAATTACCTCATAATTTATAGGAGCATTCTGTAGTGTGCTCAGGAGGATTTTGCCTTGGTCATGGAGAAAAATTAACTGTTCTTGTCTTGCCTAACAAATTTTATAAGTAAGATCCCAAAGAATAAAAGTATTTCCAAGTAACCGTATTACATCCT